CTAGGGATCTCAAGTCAAGCTCTGTCTTTTTTTGGTTCATGCATTACCACCAAATATTATGGATTCTTCAGGTTAGATTACGCCCTGTTACTTTGTAACTATGTGGTTGTATAGTTGTATCTTTACACCACAAATACAAAGTGATAGAAAATTACACACACTCTTTTCAGAGTTGAATGGTGCGTGGCATCAGAATTCAGAGTGGAAATTCAGATTGTCACATTCACAGAGGCATAGGGCTCACAGGGATCCTGAGAAGTCATCAAGTCCAGTCAATCCTGTGGTGATGCAGGACCAAACACATTTAGACCATGCCTGACAAGTGCTTGTCCAACCTGGTCTTAAAAAGCCAATAATGGGGAGTTCACTGCCTTGCTTAGAAGCCTATTCCACAGCTTAACTACCACTATAGTTAGAAAGGTTTTCCTAATGTCTAACTTAAATCACCTTTGCTGCACATTAAGCTCCTTACTTCTTGTCCTAGCTTCAGTGAACATGGATGATACTTCATTGCATTCTCTTGGTAACAGTTTACAAATGTATTAAGGATGGTTATGAGGGCCCTCCCCTCCACCTCATTTTCTTTTAACGAAACACACCCAGGTTTTTTTTTGTTTTGGAAAAAAAAAGTGTCATTTTTGTTGCTCTTAAGTGAACTCTCCCCAGTTTATCCATGCACATCTTTCCTAAAGTTATAACACCCAAAATTGGACACTGAGGCCTCATTACCAAGTAGATTAGGACAATTACCTCCTATGTCTTACAGATCATAGAATCATAGAATAATAGGACTGGAAGGGACCTCAAGAGGTCATCGAGTCCATCCCCCTGCCCTCAAGGAAGGACCAAGCTCCACCTACACCATCCCTGACAGATGTCTATCTAACCTGTTCTTAAATATCTCCAGAGAGGGAGATTCCACCACCTCCCTTGGCAATTTATTCCAATATTTGACCACCCTGACAGTTAGGAATGTTTTCCTAATGTCCAATCTAAACCTCCCCTGCTGCACTTTAAGCCCATTACTCCATGTCCTGTCCTCAGAAACCAAGAGGAACAAATTTTCTCCTTCCTCCTTGTGACACCCTTTTAGATATTTGAAAACCACTATCATGTCCCCCCTTAATCTTCTTTTTTCCAAACTAAACAAGCCCAGTTCATGAAGCCTGGCTTCATAGGTCATGCTCTCTAGACCTTTAATCATTCTTGTCACTCTTCTCTGTACCCTTTCCAATTTCTCCACATCTTTCTTGAAATGTGGCGCCCAGAACTGGACACAGTACTCCAGCTGAGGCCTAACTAGTGCAGAATAGAGCGGCAGAATGACTTCACGAGTTTTGCTTACAACACACCTGTTGATACAACCTAGAATCATATTTGCTTTTTTGGCAACAGCATCACACTGTTGACTCATATTCAACTTGTGGTCCACTATGACCCCTAGATCCCTTTCCGCCATGCTCCTTCCTAGACAGTCGCTTCCCATCTTGTATGTATGGAACTGATTGTTCCTTCCTAAGTGGAGCACTCTGCATTTCTCCTTATTAAACCTCATCCTGTTTACCTCTGACCATTTCTCTAACTTGCTAAGGTCATTTTGAATTATGTCCCTATCCTCCAAAGAAGTTGCAACCCCACCCAGTTTGGTATCATCTGCAAACTTAATAAGAGTACTCTCTATCCCAATATCTACATCATTGATGAAGATATTGAATAGTACGGGTCCACACTCCTATCAATACACCCCAGAATTATATTGCCTTTCTGCAACTGCACCACATTATTTAGCTTATTCAATCTGTGATCCACTAACTACCGTTTCCCTTGTTACCACAACCTAGCCCACTATTCCACATTTTGAAATTGTGCTTGTGATTTTCGCCCCTTGTAAAGGAAACAAGTTCTCATTTATTGAATTTCTCCAATTTGTCAAGGGTGTTTTTCCAATTCTAATCCTGGCCTTCAAAGTGCTTGCAATCCCTCTCAATTTGGTGCCATCTGCAAATTTTATTCTTCGTGCTATTATCCACATCATGGAATGAAAATATTGACTAATACCAGACATAGAACTGGTTCTTGTGGGACCTCACTAAATATAGCCTCCAAGTTAGACAGTGAACCATTGATAAAGTATAGTATTTCAACCAGCTGTGCACTCACCTTATAGAAAGTTCATCAAGCCCACATTTCACTTAGGTTTTTTGGACACAGTCCAACATGACATTTTCCTTACTCAAATCAAGAGAGATCACATCTACTGCTTTTCTTATTCACTAGTCCAGCAATCCCGCCACAGAGGAAGTAGATTGGTCAAGAACAAGTCATGCTAACCCAACATATATTGGCTACATTTTATAACAATAATATCCTATAAGTGTTTACAAATTGATAATTTAATAGTTTGCCCCCATAGCTTTCCAAGTATCAAAGTTAGGCTAACCAGTCTACAATTCCACAGGTTCTCTTCATTCCCCCTTTTAAAGACACATACTAATTTTGTTCTATAGTTTTCTGAAACCTTGCCCATCCTCTGTAAGTTCCAGAAGATAACCAACAGCTCTGAAATTGCTTCAGCTTGTTCCTTAAAAGTAGCCTGAGATCAATTTCAAGGAAAGTATTCACAGAAATACAAGGCAAAATAGAGAAGGAGCAGATTAAGGAATATTTAAACAGTTTAGATGATTCAAGGTCTTGCTGGCTTAAATATATCTAAACTACTTAAATATTCTTTAGCCTGTTCTTCTATTTTGTCTTGTATTTCTTCCCCCTATTGTGTTGAGTATCTCTTCACCTTTCTAGTGAAAACTGAAGCAAAATTGGCATTAAACATCTCAGCCTTTTAAATGTCAGTATTAGGTCTCCTTCCCCACTAAACAGGGGACCTATATTTACCTTTGTCTTTCATTGCTCCTTGTATATTTAAAGAATCTCTTCTTTTTGCTTTTAATGTCATTTGCTAGGCATAATTCAAAATGGCGACGTAAGTATTCAAATGGATACAATTTATATGACAAAAAGGAATATTTTAGTCGGAAGAGAAACTGCTGTAAAAAGATTGACATCCTCTGACTTAGCATATACCTTCTGACACCCTTCTGCTAGTTCTTACTCATCAATAGCACCCCTACATTATGACAGACCCTTGCTTGAACTCTCTGGTATATAATCTACACCCACTTAGCAGTGTGCAATTTACAGCACCATTATTAAAACTTAATCCAGCTATTAAGTCAAATGTTCTCTGTGGTAGCACTCTTCAAGCCTGGCCTCCCACTACACTTTGAAATTAGCAGTTTACTTAGGCAGAATGAGTCAGATAAACACTAATAATTAGCACAAATAACTTTTAAAAAAAATTCCTTTTGCAAACATTAACCATAAAAAGCATGAGCTCTTAGGAATGAACTTAGTAGCTGAATAAGATCATAGTCACAAAATGCTATAAGATGGAAACTAAGTCTTAGGTACATAGCACATGAAAACTCATGATAAGATGAGAGCAAACAGATCAGAAGACAATGCCAATAAAGCACCTTACAATCCATTGTGCCTTAAGCAAGAACTCAATTTGGGTCTATACTGCTGGCATACTACAATTGAAGTACCAGAGGGGAACTTGTCTCCTAGCTACTTTATTTCAGTCTCAGTAGGGGTGTCCTTGTGTATGTTCTCCTACACAGCTGTAACCCAAAGAAGAAATATCAGATTTCTGAGCGTAGGAGGTAAGTGACCCATTTTACGAGGAACAAGCAGCCATTTACAGGTTGAACCTCTAGTCCGGCAGCATCGGAACCTCAATTTCCTGAACCATGGCAAGTCAATGGTGTCCATCAGAACTACCAACACTTCCACTGCTTGCTGGGCTATTATAAGACATTTAGGGGTAAATAAGAGCTAAACAACAGCACAGAAGACTGAGCGCAAGGACAGGTGGCTATAAATAAACTTCATAGGGCCACGGAAAACTTGACTATATCCATGGTAAGTGGACATCTGACTAACTAGAATCATTCTGGACCACAGATATTGCCAGACCAGAGAGTGCTGAGTTCGAGAGGGTCAACTTGTAGCATATTTGTATCTAGTTCCTGCAGTGCTTATAAGCAGCACAATTCTACGAATTCAGATTTTACTCCAAAGTGTCAGTTTTCTTGGGCCTGAAGGCATGATTCAAAGCACAAGTTCCCAGACAAACAGACCTCTGAAGGGTTACCCGCAACCCAATAAAAGATTGTCTTTCACACACTAGGATTCTCTAACATACAGTCTTTAAGAATAGCGATTCTACACATAATGTGGAGACTCTAAATAGAAAGGGGAGTTTAATCAACCATCTAATAAAAGGGGTTAAAATTAAGTGTGTTGGTGGAAAGTGTGCTGGCTGCATTAGATGCAAATTAACAAATGCAGGAATCTGCCAGAAGTCCCATTAAAAGTCTGCATTAGTCAAATAAGCGCGATTCACTGTGTCATTGCGTGCTCAAGAAAGCAGCAGCAAAAAAAGCTATACACTGTTTGTGGTTTAAAGGACAAAAATCACATCACATTAAAAAAAAATTCACATTGCTGAAAATATCTGTAGAGCTTATGTGGGGATCCTGGGTACATATAAATCCTGGCAGATTAATCTTATTTCTTGATCTCAGTTTGTGGGGGGCAGGGGGGGGGGAGTCTTTCAAATTGAGAGTTTCAGAAAGTACACAGTAATTTCTTGCCAGGAAAATCTCTACACATCTCTACCCTATTAAATTGATAGTGCAAATTCTAAGGAAAAGCCAACTGCTTCAAAGTCGTTTTGCTTTTTCTACACATTTTACTTATTAAATTATATGTTGTCACTCACATATAGCACAAGGGCTGGTCAAATTTTTCAGAAGCCAAAAGGAAATGAAGAATGCTCAGTAACCCACAGGGGGTGCAAAGGATTCCTCACTAATGGGGTGGGTCCCATGGTGCTTTAACAAAAACAAGTGTAAATAACATTAAACAATTTAATTTACCTTGACCGTGTAGTACTCCTTGACTTCAGGCCTAATGGAATCAAAGTCACCGCTGATGTAATCAGGCAAGAAGCTGAAAGAGATTCAGTGAACAGTTAAATGAAAAATTAAAGCATCTATTTTCTTAAATAAATAAATAAATAAATAAAAAAAGATTGGGAGAGGAATATTCCTTTCCCAAAGGAACAAGATTATAAAGCAAAGAGGGGAAAAACATATTGTACCTTTAAAAGGTACCTTTATTGTACCTTTACACAGACAGAGACAAATCCCAGACAGAGTTCAGGAAGAGTTGTGCATGTATATTAAAAAAACAATTGACTCCAAAACACTTATTATTGAAATACACGGTCATCAACAAAACATATTAAAAACCAATTCATTATACTATACCATCTAGTATCTTGGGATCTTGTTCCTTTGCTGACAGTAATAGTTTCAGGATGTTAGACATTTGCAGAATTTGTTCTTTTATTAACAAGTTTCCAGTCTCCCCACAAGAGATCTGAATTAGCTCACTACAAGCTTCATGATATATGAAAGTACGGAGTTTTAGTGGATGTCAGCCACTAAAAATAATTTGTTACCCAGTTTAGCACTCAGGGATCTCTTCCATACATTGCATCTACATACAAAACTAGCTAATCAAACACCAAAGTTACATAAAAATCCATTTAACTTGGTTTTCATTCTCCCAGTGATTTAACATGCTGAGTAAAGTTTGGTTAATCTTTGTGTTGTGGTGTGCTCAGATACAATGCATTGAGATAGCGGGTTTATTTTTTCTTTAAATATCTATGGAGAAAAGGACACACTGTGTTAATACAGGCAGTCCCCGGGTTACGTACAAGATAGGGACTGTAGGTTTGTTCTTAAGTTGAATCTGTATGTAAGTCAGAACTGGCGTCAAGATTCACCCACTGTTGAAACTGATCAGCTTCAGCAGCGGCCGAATCTGGACGCCAGTTCCGACTTACATACAGATTCAACTTAAGAACAAACCTACAGTCCCTATCTTGTACGTAACCCGGGGACTGCCTGCATACACATATACACAAGGGCTATGTCTAGACAGGCCAGTTTTCCGGAAAATCAGCCGCTTTTCCGGAAAAACTTGCCAGCTGTCTACACTAGCCGCTTG